TTTTTTTTTTTTTTTTAAGGAAAAATAAAAACAAAAAAACTACATAATTTCTACCAGGGCCATATTAGCAGTGAAACATTTTAAACTGCTGAAATTGTGGTTTTGGTTCAGAAACAAGCTGTATATTTTCCACCCCTGATTATGGGAAAAAAATCAGTGCTGTGTCTTTGTGGGTTGCTCTGCTATGGAGATCAGCAGTAACTGTGACTGAGTTGGCCCATTCTGTTTAGAAATATATTTTAAACGTTTAGTAATTGACATGTGTGGTTGTCCTTAATTAAGTTGAAAGTTAACCAAACAGGTGTACTGATTTAGAAAGACCAGTGAGTTATGGTAGCAACTTGTAGACAATTAGTAAGGAGCAGGAATGTGTAAGGAGCTTTATATGGATATAAAGATAGTTGGTCTGATGGTGGTTTGGTTTGAGACTTTTAATCCCAAGGGCAGGTTCAGGGTTCTCTTACAATTCAAGGCCAAGCTTGTAAGCTGCCTTAAAGAAAAAGGGAATGGGAAGAATCACGGTTTTTTTTGTTTTGTTTTTAATGGGCAGCAGCACAAAGATATTGGAAGTCTTAGCCAAAACCTACTTTGGCAGGTGGGTTGGGGACAAAAAGATTCAGGCTTTATCACTTTTACCCCTAGGGGTGGTCTTCTGTGTCCCAGGGTTAAATTTCTTCCAGAAAGAAAAAGTATAAAAGTGTGGCTAGTATCTCTTTTGGATGTAATGACCACAGTCTACTTTGAATAATCCTCAGACTTGTGTAAAAAGTTAGCTCAGGCTTAAGGCTCCTCTGCTTGGAACCAAATGAGGGAGATTTGTTGGCGATAAATCTGCTGCTCAGGTCAAAAAAAAAAAAACAACTTAAAAAATGGTGTAACTTAGGTTGTCACACAGTGATCAGATGCTCTACTAGTTAAATAAAAACTTACTGACATTTAGTACACAGCCTTTTTGCAGGGAAGGTAAGAGACAATGTCTTCCATAGTGAAAAGGTCTGTAAGTCAACAGTTGATCCATTTCCTCCAAAGCTCACAAAGCCTTTCACTTCTGCTAGATCAGGAATCATTGCCTCCATCGGCCAGATCTTCCCAGGTCGGCCTTCTCAAGAGTCAGTTACTAAAAAACACTTAGGCATCCATTTTAGTCAGGTGACTGAAGGAAGTGGGGATGTTGTGTTGTGTTCACAGGATATTCCCTTCCCAGAACCACTATTCAACCATGTGGTAGGACTCATTCATCCAGCTTTCCCAGAGAGATATTACCTGTTTAGAGATAACAGCAAAAAAGAACATTACATCCAAGCCTGATGCCCAGCTGGCTGTACTGAGTTAAATCACTTAATCTGTCATGGAAAATATGCCCTGGAAATAAGTATACCTACTGTCTTGATTTTCTAACTAAGTATCTTGAAAGAGTTACAGTTATAATTGAAGCTATAGTTATAAGTACCTACTTTAATAAAGGAAGCAGGCTGATTTGGCATATATGGCCACAAAGGGGTGGAAGGAAAGATTGAACTACGTTTGTCCCAAGCAGCAAAGTCTGAAACAACACTAAGAGAATTTAGCTGTGATTAATGGATATGTAAGCAGTGACAACTTGTAGGCTCTGACATGAAGCAATTAAAGTTTCTTGGCACAGTTGAGTAGTGAATCAGATACATTTTATATATTTTTTAACTCCATACTTATCCTTGCTTCAATCAGAGCTTTTCTTTAACTGGTTGGTCTTGATCAAAGAAGTTACCTCTGAGCTGACCAGGGCTAATGGCTAAGATGCTGCATGTGGCTTTGTAAATATGTTTTATTTGGCCTGCATGGTATTTTTTTTTTTTTTTAGGATTTGGGTGAAGATTTACAGAGTAAATTCACTTTTCATACAGCAGTTCACATATACTTTGTCTCATGTCATTGACCAAAATTTACAATGCAGCAGCTCCCCTCCCACTTCCTCCCCATAGTTACCTCCTCCCAGTGTCCATCCCTTCATACTCTCTGCACCCTGAGCTATCTCCCTGTGCATAAGCAGCCCTTCCTTCTCCCATGATTGTTCTCTCCAGGGCGTGTGTCTACTTGAGGTAAATGTTTAACTCACATGCCTGTACTTTGTTTGGCTGGAAACCACAGTTATGGGTTCAATTCCAGACCTGAAGGGCAACTAGGGGCCATAGTCTCAGTGGTTACACCAGGCTCCATTGGACCAGCAAACCTGGTCCCCACCTTCTTCTTTTTTTTTTTTTTGCCTCCAAATGATTTTGAGTTTTGTACCACATTGTTCTCCCTCTTTATGTAGGATCTCCTACATCCCTTCCAAGTGGATAGCAGTGGTAGCTGGGCACCATCTAGTTCTTCTGGTCTCATAGTTGTATAGGTTGCAGATCAGATGGTATACCAGTCGCTAGGACTGATTGTTTCCATTAATTTTTGTTTTCTTCTTTCTTCTTGACGAGGAGAGACCCGTTGTTGCATCTAGATGGCAGCTTCCTAGCTTTTAAGGTCCTAGTCGCTACTCGCCAAAGTAGTAGGTGGAACAATGTTTTGTATAGTATGTTATGCCAATTGAGCTTGATGTCCCCTGCGACTATGGTCCCAAGCCCGCAGGATCAACTACTTGGTCCCTCTGGGTAGCTGGCTGTGACCAAGTAATGACCATAACCTTGCCCCTTGTCAGCTCTACTATACACCTGGGAATTCTGATCATTCACATGAACTTACAGGCCCATTGTCTGCCAACCCTATATATGATCTTGGATACACTCTCCATTTAGACATACCTAATTGTTTAGCTTGTTCACCCATCTATCTGTCCCTATACCCATGTTTGCTTTCACTGACAACTCAGTACTGTATACTGCATGGTATTTCTTAAATTTTTAATTAGTTGCCAACACTTAGAACTTGGGAAGTTCACACAAAATGTCACATGTCCAAGTCTCTGGGAAAATGTTCGCGCCTGGCACCAAATGAGAAACATTTGATGGTCACTCCCCCTTCAGGGCAAGCTCAAGCTCCAGGCTTGCAGCTGTGAATATACCCCAGTCCTGCTCTGTTCCTTTCTGTTACCACTGGACCCCTAAAGGTGTGCATGACTCCTGGACTGTTGCCACCATCTATGTACACATTACATCTCAGGATGCTTTCACTTGGCTCATTTGGTCCTCACATTTCCTAGTGTCATTCTTTGGTTCACATGTGACCGTGTTAAACCACTCTGGGTTAATATACCTGGAGGGGCCACAAAATACTCCTCCACGACTCGATGGGAGTTCTGTAGTAGTTCTTCAGCACAGTTGCCTTCTGTCACACTGTCATTTCTCAGGTATAGGCATCTACAAGACCCCGAATTCCAAGGTTACCTTCTCAGGAGAGCTTCCAGGGCATGGTGGAGAAGGGTCAGGAATGGGGCAGTTTGAGTTGAGGTTATTGTACAAGGTATAAGAACTGTGGTCAAATAGAGAAGTCTTAAGTTTACAGATTCTTCCAAATCCCTCAAGATGGATAGTTTTAACAAATACTGAATATTATGGGTAAGTTGCTTCTAGGGGAAAACCAATGAAAAAACAATTACAATACAATGTTAAATCTAACAGGTAAGCAAAGGCTACCAAGGGGCACCTAACCCAGTCTGAGTGGGTAGCACCAAGGGGCACCTAACCCAGTCTGAGTGGGTAGCAGGTACTCAGAAAACACGATACATGGCCGACTGCTAAAGAATGGAGAAGCTGTAGTTAAGGGGCATGGAAAATAACTTGGCAGAAGCAGCAGCATGATCCCAAAGCAAGAGAACCCAGTACATTCAGACAAGTGCAGAGAATTCAGCAGGATAGCAGTATGGCCCACACAAGGAGCAGAGCAGGAGAAACTTGCTCCAGAGTGGTTCTAAGGGACTTATTTAAAGGTATTAGCTCATAAAGGACAGAGCCGGGACCTGAGCCTGTAAGCAGTCTGCTACATGGCTGATAAGGGAAACAGCCGGTGAGCTCCTGCTTTGACCAGGGCCCAAACAGGGTTAGGCCTATGGGGCTTGGGTCACGTGGTAAGGAAGTGACTAGGAGGAGTATGCAGTCAAAGGCTGCACACAAGGACTTTGAGGACAAGATGCCTTCAAGGAAGGGCAAATTCTATTTCTTTGGTGCCTATGGCACTCAGCCCAGGACTTGACACAGTATTTATTCATGGTTTGAAAAGTACAAAGTTGGATTCTGTTCCAAGATCTGCCACTCCAAAACAGTGTTGGCCTTAACTACGACAAATTCTTTAAAAAAAAAAAAAAGGTGTGACCTTGAACAAATATTTTTCCAGATCTTAGATTTCTCATCAAAAAATTAAAGGTTGCACTAAAATTTAAAAATTTTTTGTTGAAAATACACACAGCAAAATACACACCAATTTGACAGTTTCTACATGTACAATTCAGAGATACTACATTCTTTAGGTTGTGCAACGATTCTCACCTAGATTATTTTAACCACACGATTACGCATTCATTTTAGAAAACCTGGACAACAAAAATAATAAAAACTATAAATGTACTACTCACAAAGTACCCATAGGGCTTCTAGAGTTTGTTTCTGTTGGACATTTTAGCAAAATGAGAGCTTTGGCTCCTGAGTCACAGGAATTCCTGGGAATTCCAGCCCCAGAGCCACATGTGGTACAGGGGCAAGTAGCTTACCCTCCCCATGTTTCAGATGTTTCAGAGGGCTGCTGGAAAGATTAAATGATGTTAAAAAATAAGATCTGACATGCTGGGCCTTCGTTCTCATGGCAGTAAAAGGTGCTCCTGTCAGAAGAGTTTGTGCAGCCTGGGGACACCTCATTTCCCACCTCTCCAAGTGCCCGTACCTACACACACCCACCCCTTTTTATCAGGCAAAATATATCCTGCCCCTGTCATTTAGAGATTGCTGCTAACTGCTGGTTACTGGACACTGGGTGATTTTGATGCAGTAAGACTCTACTACCACCAACATAGGAATTCTGGTGGTGCAGTGGTTAAAGCATTTGGCTGCTAACCAAAGGGTCAGTGGTTTGAACCCACCAGCCACTCTGCAGGAGAAAGATGAGGCAGGCAGTCTGCTTTCATGAAGACTAACAGGCTTGGAACCCCTACAGGGCAGTTTCACTTTGTCCTATAGGGTCCCTATGAGTTGGAACCGACTGGAAGGCAGTGGTTTACTACCACTGACAGGTGGTTAAAGCTACTGCTTCCCAATGGTAGATCTAATAACCGAGTTTTTCAATATCATTTGGTAATCAGGTTTCTTATGTAAATAAAATTTGCAGAAAAAATTCACTACTTTAAATACCACACATTTCTACTTAGTTACTATTTATAAGGGGTTATTTTCTAGAATAGACCCCTACCTTCCTATTAATCATAGGCTATTGAGTCCCTGTGACCTTTAACTTGGCAAATTGCTTAACTGTTCTAGACCTCGGAGCCATGTGTAAAACACCAGAATGAGACTAGCTGCTGAAGTGCTATCAATTACTGACTCACTGACTAACTGTCTACCTTACTTGTCTTTCTCAATGGGGGTTTCACAAGAGAATTTAGCCCAAATGCCCCAAGACACCAATTTTCTGATAAATCCACTTCTCTCCTATGCATCCTGACTAGCACTGTTGTTATGTGCTGTCGAGTCAGCTCCGACTCATAGCGACCCCTCCTTGAGTTACCAAGGCAGTATCACTACAGAAGTAGATTGCCCAACCTTCTTTCTGAGGAGTGGCCCGTGGGTTTGAACTGCCAGCCTTCTGGTTAGCAGTCAAGTGTCTTAGGCACTATGCATTATTCTTGGGAGAACTCAGAAAATAACTCGAATCTTTCTGTGTTCTGGTTCAGGTGAGGAACCCTGTTTGAGGAAGTATTTAACTGTGAACTAGAAATCCCTGCCCTCTAAAGTTTACCGGCAAGTCACTAAGCCAGTAACTGAGGAGAATGCTAATCAGAAGGCACGGAAAGTGCTGTGGCAGCAGAGGGTGACTGCTACCTTTGTGCTTCTATCAGCCCCTGGCCCAACTGACGATGGAGTTCTGTGCCTGTTTCTTTCTGCCTCTTCCCTCACATCAGGCTAGCAGCAGTCATTTCTCTCGGTACCCCTTTCTCTCATCTAAAAGCCTTCTCCCTCTCTCCTAATTTATTCTCTCTTGTTTGATGCAGACTGGAATGGGAGCTAATCAATTTGGTTAAGAATTTGGAGTTCAAATAAGATTCTGAGAGACATCCAAAGCACTAAATATTTGGCTGCAACCAAAGGTACTATAAACTAATTCAGTGTCTGGATTTGAGATGAAGGAGAGTAACGTTTCTAGAGATTGAGTTAAATGCTTACCTAGAGCAGAGTACCAGATGTTCTTATTACCTGAAGACTTTCGGCATTTACTAACCTTTCTGAGTCTCAATTTCTTCATCTGTAAAACATATTAGTGTTTACCTTCCAGGGTTGTACATGATAATTGAGATAACAGATGCAAATTCTTAAGTCTCGGATATGTCCTAAACAAACTAATCCCTTCTAGCTTAAACAAATGATAACATGCAAAGAGATCTCTATTAACCAGTCTGGTTTTGCCGCTATGAGGGCCACTGCCTACAAACCCTTTTGATACTTGTCTTCACTGATCTCTGTTTCAAACATTACTGAGGCAATTTGTTTAGAACATGAGACTCGTAAAAATGTCACATCTCTAAAATTGAGTCATTAACAAAAACTGGTCCCAACAGATCACTGAGTGCCAAGCTCTGATTCCAGCTCCCAGACCAAATCCCTCTTCTTCTTCACAAGCTTTTTCCTGAACAATGGCTACATTTCTTTAATGTTACCCTATAGACTTGGGAAACTCTGACCCTTTTTGTGTTTCTGTTCCCTCCTTTCTCAAATACATTAATGAAAGCACTCATCCACCAAACATTTGCTGTCTACTCCGTGCTAGACACTGAGAACATGATGAATAAAACCAGACAAGCTCCCTGGAGCTTGGCCGAATGAAGGAAGAAGAAAACAGAATCACATATCACTCAAACAGATGTGGAAATTACAGTTCTTCTGAATACCATGAGTCACAGATCCAAAGCAAGGAAATTAAGGAGGCAGAAAAGAGGGATGGGTGAGATGAAGTGGGGGTAAGGGTCCAGAATTCTCGGCAGGAAAGAGCTTTAAAAGCTTGAGGAACTATAGCACTGGCTGGGAAAGGTGGACCAAGAGACTCTGTCAGGTGATGCCTGCTTGGCTCTGGGAGGCTTTTATCCTGAAGGGCACTGGAAAGCTCATCTTTGGTTTAGGGTAAGTGTTGACCATTTGGTCTCACAGAGATTTTTTTTTTTTTTTTGAAGGCCAGGGGGGATGGGAGGCTAGATTAATAAAAAGGGAACAACCAGAATGGAAATAATAAGAATGCTGACACAACGTGGAAAATGTAACCAGTGTCACTGAATATATATAGAAACTGTCATATGGAAACTAATTTGCTATGTAAATGTTCACCAAAAATTCAATAAAATGTTTAAAGAAAAAACATTTAAATGTATTAAAATATGTATTAGAATACGTGGAAAATATTTCATTAAACATTAAAACTTTTTAAAAAGATGTGACAACAATTGGTGGATCTGGGTAGAAGATGCCTTCTTGAAGTATTCACACCATGCTACTTCCTTGTATCATTACCCCATAGTCTTCACCATTTGTGTTTCTGGCCTCTGGTATAAAATGAAAAGTAAAAGTTTCCATCCCTATTTCCAATCACTTCTTAAAAAAACAAATCATTATTAACAGTTTCTTCAATACCCTTTCAGGGGGAAAAACAAAACAAAACAAACCTTAATGCATATGTCAGAATATACTAAATAGATGAGATCACACATAAACGATTGATAATTCTAATTTCCGAATATTGTTTTTTTTTTTTTTTTAAATTAAATCTATCTCGGAGCTCTTTTCATACCAGTACATACAGTTAGTTATTTCATTATTTTAAACATCTGCCTAATTTCCAAAGGGAACCATTGGGTCAGAGAATACATGCATTTAAATTTTGAGGTAGGAACACAGCATTAACCAAGTCAGACAATAAGCCTCGCAACCTAGTGGCAAAGACAGATAACAAATCAACCAAAACGTTAAAAAATAAATAAATAAAGAATCAGAACAAAACCCAACAGGATAAAGAGTTAGTGTCTGAAAGGAGAGAAGACTTGAAAGTGATTGGAAGAGACTTTGAGGATATGAGCTGAAACCTGAATGCCAAGGAGACAGCCATGCTAACGTGTGGGGGCAGACTGTCCAAGAAAAAGGGAACAGCAAGTGCAAAGATGCTGGCGAGGGAACGAATCTGGCGTGTGAAGCAGTGAGGAGGCCAGCTGGCTGGGAATCAGTGCAGTGCGTCTCAGGGAGAGGCAGAGGGCTCTATTAGGTCCGGCCTCGAAGGCTACGGTTAGTTTGGATTTCACTCCCCGTTACCTCGGGAGGCTCCGTGGACTTTACGCACGGAGTCACAAGATCCATACTGAACCAGGGGAAGTGTGAAATCACTTCCGTGCGGCATGGCCATGGATGAGTTCCTGAATTTTGCTAAAACTCTTATTCTCTGTGAAATGGGGACACTAACACAAACAGCCACCGTGAAAGGGCTGCGAAGGCACCACAGTCAGGCTTCCCCGACCGCAGCCGCAAGTGTACCTGTCCTCCAGTACCGACTCCATGGGCTCCACCCCGTCTGTGTTCACGCCACGGAGCCGGTCGGCAAAGGCGATGGCTTTCTCCAGCCTCGCCACGGCCTCGCGGCTCCCAAAGTCCACAAGCGCCAGACGTTCCAGGTGTTCTATCATCTCAGCCGTGACCTGGGGGGGGGTGAGGCGGAAGGCGTGGGTTACCGACCGAGCCCGCTCCGCCTCCTGGCCAGCTCCGCCACCCACCTTAACGTCCTACTCTTTTACCTGAGGGCCTGCCTTGGAAGTGAAAGCCTGGCAGCCGCCAAGCGGAGCTCGAAGGCCCCGCCACATCACCCGTGCCCACATTTCTCCCCTTCTCTGCTTCCGTAGTGAGCCCGTTACGTAACGCGGAGCGACGCGCCTAAGAGTGATGACATCTGCGGCGCCCCTGACTGTAGCCGCCGCCGCCGCCGTCGCCGCCGCCATGAACAGCGTCGGAGAGGCATGCACTGATATGAAGCGCGAGTACGATCAGTGCTTCAATCGCTGGTTTGCGGAGAAGTTCCTCAAAGGAGACGGCTCGGGGGACCCGTGCACCGACCTCTTCAAGCGCTATCAAAAGTGTGTTCAGGTGAGCCAGGCTCAAGCTGTCCCGCCTCTACGTAGCGTTAGGCCCCGTGTTTTCTTTGCGGTGTCCGGAGCCACAAACTTGGCATCTTGCGATGGTTGGGATCAGGAGGGTGGAGGAAAGCCTCAGTGATGCTACTGGCAAGTGATAACCCTGAGGCCTCCTGGGTAAGTCTCTGAGGACAGAGTTAAGTATCTTTTCAAGCTTTGCTTTTCACGAAGCACATCTTTTGGTGCATCTTAAGCTCGCAAAGTGGTCATCGTTACTCAGTATTTTATACATAGAAAACTCAAGCCAAGAGATAGGAAGTGATTGGTCCAAGTTGTTAGAATCACATTACCTTGATTCTTTTGTGGGTGACCCACTTTTCCACTATGTGGTGTACAGACGCGCAAGTGCTAGCCCTTCTCTGGCCCGTTGTGGACGGTTCTCTTGTTTTTGTTATAATCCCTTCATTATCGCTCTCAACCACATTTCCCCAACTGAATCTAGGAAATTATGATCCCAGCCCAATGGTGGTGGGACTTTATGTATAGAAACAACATTGGGCAAACCACTTCCAGTGAGTTACAACATTGTCACAGTAATTCCAACATGTAGTTGCTATCTTTATCCCATTTATAGATGAGGACAGTGAGGCTTGGTCAAGGTCACACAGTCAGCAAGTCGTGGATCCAAGATTTAAACCCATGCTTGTCACTAAGATAATCAGTAGCGATTCAGTTTTTGGTCTTGCACTTAATTTCTTCATAATGGTATTTCTGTTGGTTTAAAAAAAAAAAAAAAGATGGGATTAGATTCATGGTTGGTAGTGGACTTTACTTTTGTATCATGTTTTATTTACAAGTTTGGTTCTCAAGCTTTTGTGTTTCTCTCTCCATCAGAAAGCAATAAAGGAGAAAGAGATTCCCATTGAAGGACTGGAGTTCATGGGCCATGGCAAAGAAAAGCCTGACAGCTCTTCTTGACCCTGACAGTCACCTTGAAGATATACTCCTCATATCAGGAAATTGGAAGACTGGATTTTGTCAGCTAAGGCTGTGAAGAAAGCTACTGATTTGATGGAGTTTAGGAGGGAGTTTTATTTCTTCCTTCTTGATGTCTTCCTCTCACTTGCTCTGGCATTTTACAGGAACTCAATGTGCTAAAAATGATCTCTTGGGATTATGGTTGCAATACTTGGGCTGGGATCAGCTTTAAGTATACTTTGAATGTATATAATGATGAACTAGTCAGGATGGTCAGGATTGCCTGGCCTCTTGAGTTATGCTGTGAAGGATATGAGGTACGTTGTCCTGGGGTCATTGTTCATGGACTCAGTTGTTTGAACTTCTCTTTTTCTCTCAGGAACTAAAATAGACCCCGGCTTGGGAGCATAGTCTTATTTTTATATAGTAACTTAACAGTTAAGATTGTTGGTGGCCTGGGTTAGTCAAGAGAAAGACAGCTTTTAAAAGACTTACAACCCTGCCTTAACAAGAGGTGTGAGATTAAGATTGGAAAGGTTCAAGAGTATTGCCGTGAACACCATCTGAGAGCTTACAGTGTAGTCAAAAACTTGGAGTAGCTATGGAGGAACATGCTAACTTGCAAACATTTGCTGTTCCAGCCTGCAGTCCAAATCAATGAATCAAGGCAACCTGCGTACTATATAAATGGCAAAATGCGGCACCTGTTATGTTAAACGGGGAAGTTCGCATAACTTGCTTTCTTCACCCACCTTGCCCTGTAATGCCTGTAATCATGAAAATGAAATAAATTGTAACCTTTAGTTTCTCTCATTATTTGCCTTTTGACCTCAGTGCATTGTATCCTCACATCCCAAGGACACACTGGGTAGAATTTCATGAGGAGCTCTGGTGGTAGAGTGCCTAAGACATTTGACTGCTAACCAGAAGGCTGGCAGTTCAAACCCACCAGCCACTCCTCGGAAGGCAGATTGGACGATCTACTTCCGTAGTGATACTGCCTCGGAAACCCAAGGAGGAGTCACTATGAGTCAGATGCAACTTGACTGCAGTGAATTTGGTTTGGTTTTTGGTTATAGTTTAAAGGTGAAGAAAAAGTGAAGATTTGCTAAAGGTAGGCTGTATGGTGTAGAGATTTGTAACTTTACTAGTAGATTTCTAAAACTTTTTTCTGCAATAGGCTACACAAGAATCTTCTTAAAATTTATATTGTTACAAAATGTCAGGATAAAGTGGGGTGAGTAGTTACATAGTTTAGAATGTTGTGTAGCCCCTACAATTTCCTATCTTGAATTTGATTCAGTTTTTGTCTAAAGATAAGAAAACACTAAACCTTGATTCACAAGAGGCAGCCTAAATTCTATTATGTTCTCCCTGGTTTACCATTATTTCACGTGTTCAGTCCTTAATGGCATCTAAATATTTTTTATTTATACGTGCCAACTGGTTAAGTCCATTATTTAAGGATTGCAAAAGATATTTAGAATCCAGGCCAGGGAGGCCAGGCAGCAAGCTGAAGATAAATATATCTGTCCTGAACTCAGATTGGCTTCAAGCAAGCTGGCTGGAAAGGGATTCAAGTGCAGGCTGTGTTTATATCACCAGATGGCAAAGATACTTAGGGATTCTTATTTTCTTACTGGAAAGTGGCTTCCACACCATTTCCATATACCTCACCTTTGCATTAGCTGCTTGATGTATGTACTATACAATACTGAAACTGTGGCATGTTTAGTCTTCTACAGAACTGTCCAGTTGAGTCTTGCTTTGAAAGTAAGCCAGCGCCAAGCCACCATATTCTTACTGTAAATCATATTGAGAGGTTTGCTTGATGTGAAAGCTGAATTAGCTAGCCCAGAAACTCCTAAACCTCTGGCTTTTAGGGAGTATTTGTAGGAAATTACCTAGAGCAGTCCTCTTCAGTTGAATCTGAGGGAGTAAGAAGAATGTTCTAAACTCATTAACTGCCAGAATAGATGTAAGAATCACTTACGTGTAACTCCAGTGCTCAAGCGTCAGGTACTTAACCCTATTCATATTAACTTCAGTCTAACAAAACAGATACTACTAGTTACCTTGCTTTATAGCCATGTCCTGACAAAACAAACAGTATCTTAAATTGCTACTGAGGGAGTGACTTTCTGTGAATAACTGTTCCTCATCCTATTATCATTTCATCCTCCCCATAAAGTATCTCCAACTACCTCAGCTACTTCATAGGTTTTAAATTTTGATAAGGAATTCTTATCAGGCTTATCCCTCCTAATTCTTACAGCTACAGGGAGAAAATTCTCTGGCTATAGGGAGTATTCTAGGAGCTCCGGTGGTGTAGTGCCTAAGGCATTTGACTGCTAAGCAGAAGGCTGGGAGTTCAAACCCACCAGCCATTCCTTAGAAGGAAGACTGGGCAATCTACTTCCGCAGAGATACCTCCTTGGAAACCCAAGGAGGCGTCACTATGAGTCGGATCCAACTTGATGGCAGTGAGTTTGGTTTTGGTTTAGAAGGTGTATACTGCCCCAAATGCTGGGGGAATGGGATAGAACCAAGCTGAGAACCAGAGGAAGCACTTTCTCTCGAAAGTCTCATGTACCACTTTCAGATGTAAACTGGAGCCACTCTGCTGACCTCTCAATGGTGATGCCATCCGAAGTTTGTCAAGACCCAATCTAGATACCTGATTTGCTTCACTGCTCTACTCACCCCAGGCACAAGAAACCCAGTACAGGCCTGGTGTAAACACTCATTCCGTGGATTACACTGGGCCTGAAATACTGTAAACAGCAGCTATTAACCTGCATAGAAAGAATGCAACTTCTAGTCATGACTAAGCTAAGTTGTTTATTTAAGCCATCTTCTATCACAAGCAAAGAGATGGAAGATCAGTACATTGGTCATCATTTGATACAAGTAAAAGTGAGCTTAAGGTCCCAAATGCTTTTCTGGTCCACGTGCAGCATAATGGTCCAAACCAGTGCTGTGGTCCCCCGTAGTGGTCCGGGTTCTCTTTAGTCATCTTCATAGCCAGTTGGAAGTGGATTCACATGAGCATTATGAAACAGAGAATGGTTCCCATCTCCCCAGGGAAAGGGCTGTGGAGTGGAGATGTTAATTAGACAATTCCAGAAAACAGTTCAGAAATAGAATGGCTATAAACTGCTTAATATGTAAAAATAAGATGGAAATTAGTCCTTAAACTACAGACATATTTCAGACTTCCCATAATTTAAGTTCTTGTAACTACCAAATTAAACTGTAAATTTTTACAGAAGCACTCTGCCACATTTCTCCCAAAGAGCAGCTGGTGGGTTCAAACAGCTGTCCCCTTAGTTACCAGCTGAGCACTTAACCAGTGCACCAGCAGGGCTCCTTTATAACTACCAAGGGGCCCTTAAAGTAGACAGAAAAAGCAAGCTCAAGCCTCCCCCTGGTAACTAGTGTTCCTGCGCTGTGTGTTTAAGCACCTCTCAGATCATCTGTTTCAGCATGCTGGCAGTGGAGGAGGAGACGCTTATTTAAATGTAGTTTTCTGGGCTCCATCCCAGACTTGAAACAATGTCTGGATAGGAAAACTGCACTCACTCTCTGCTCTTGATTATTTTATGGTGGCATAGTAAAATTCTCACTTCCCATGCAGGACACGTGTTTGATTCCAAGTCAATCCACTTCAAGTGCAGCCACTACCCATCTGTCAGAGGCGGCCTACGTGTGGCTGTGGAGCTGAACAGCTTTCAGCAAAGCTTCCAGACTCAGACAAACCAGAGGGAAAGGCCTAGCCATCTACTTCCAAAAAAGTCAGCCAGAGAAAGCCTACGTATCACAAAGGGCCAATCTCGTTTTGCATAGAGTCATCATCAGTCAGGCCCAACTAGAAAGCAGACAGCAAGTAACATCTAGTGAGTAGAGGCCGGGACGCCGCTAATCATCCCACAAGGTACAAGACAGTGGCCACAACAAGCACTGCTGTCAGAAGGTTCTGTCAAGTTGATTCTGAGTCAGAACTGCCCCACTGAGTTTTCTTGGCTATAATCTTTACAGAAGCAGACTGCCAGGTTTCTCACGTAAAGCTGCTGGGTGGGTTTGAACCGTCAACCTTTCAGTTAGCAGCCAAGCACCTGTTAGTGTCACCAGGGTTCCTCACAAAAATGATCTGGCCCAAATGTTGATAATAACGAAGCTCAACAACTCAAAAATTCTAAGAGTCTACGTAAAGTCTTTAGGAGCTCTGGTAGTGTAGTGCCTAAGGCACTTGACTGCTAACCAGAAGGCTGGTGGTTCAAACCCACCAGCCACTCTTCAAAAGGAAGGTTGGGCAATCTACTTCTGGAATGATATCGCCTTGGAAACCAAAGGAGGGGTCGCTATGAGTACATAATAACAACAGGTTAAGTCTTTATGAGGGCTTATCTAGGCAGGTGATGCAGTAGTTATTTAAAAAAAAAAAAAAAAAAGTAATATTTTATCACAGAAACTATTTGATTTGATGGCAGAGAGTTAGGTTTTATACGTATTTTAATAGTCAAAGGATGTTAATAGTCAAAGTTGACAAGATAACTAACGTAAAGGCAGAAAATGGGGGTATCTTTCACAGTTTCTTCATTTTAAGTTAGTACCTGCCAGATACCCAGGCCCTAGAAGGTTAACCACCTCCAGACTCTGCCATTCTAAGGGAATTTCTCAAACCTCCAAGTTCTTTTTTTTTTTTTTAATTGTGATTTGGGTGAAAATTTAAAGCAAATTCACTCTTCATACAGCAATTCACTTACATTTTGTCTCATAACATTGACTACAATTTACCACAATGCAACAGCTCCCCTCCCACTTCCTCCCAGTAGTTACCTCTTCCCTGTGTCCATCCCTCCATGCACTCCTGCCCCCTGAGCTGTCTCCCTGTGCAGATGTAGCCCTTCTTTCTCCCATGATTGTTCTCTCCAAGGAGTGTATCTACCTCAGGTAAATGTTCAACTCCTATGCCTGTCTTTTGTCAAACCTCCAAGTTTTATACAGCCGGCAACTGTTTCTGATCATGATCAAAAGGCAGGAGGTGGGATGAATCAGAGAGAAAATGAAAACTGAAAGGGAGACCACTTACTGTATGACCTTGAGGAAGAAAACAGCTGTGACTCCCAACTCTCAGTTTGAAGAACAAACTGTCAGCTCATTGAATTAGTTCTGTTGGTTCAAAGGTACAGGGTGTCATGGCTTCATGAGACTGCCCAGTCAATTGGCCTAATACTGTTTTCAGAGTTACTGTTCAGTGAGTAGTGCCTCGGATCTTAACAAGTCTGCAGGCAGCCACCCAAGATACAACAATTGGTCTCTATTCCCCTGGAATAGCAGAGGAAGGAGGAGACCCACGAATACAAAAGAAACTGGGCTGCAGATCTAACTGCCTCAGTGAACTACTGCCTCCCTCACCATGTGACCAAAAGAAATAGACAATGCTGGGCTACCATTACCAAACGTTCTGATGAAGGAATCAACAGATGAATTCTGATCAAAAGGGGAAATCGTGTGAAACAGAATTTCCAATTCTTACTGAACCCAAACCTGACCTACTAGAGGAAGGCCTGAATTTAGCATTCTAAGGAAATCGTCAAACCATGAACCAAATTATGCCCAAGTCATCTTAAAACTGAACAGTTTAGTTAAACTAATAATGAATGTTCATTAGGAGCACTGTGCTTTTTTAAATAATTATCTGTGTGAGATCAAACTGACAACAGTAACTCTAATGCAGAGACGAGACGTCTGGCGGGTAGTGAGTCTGTCAATGGTAGTTAGGTAACAGGGGCAGAGATAATGAGAAAGGTGACTCAACGTGAAGAGAGTAATCCGTTACTGAATTTTACATGTAGAAATTGGTGCATGGTCATGTGCTCCGCCTTGTTTACTTTCACCAAAAAAGAAAAAAAAAATTCTGTTTGTGACATGTGAAAGAAAAACAGTATGTGACTGGCACCCACGGTTTTTGAAATAAAAAAATTCGAGAAGGAATCTGGAATGAAAAGTGAACGGACACTAAACGAGTCTCCAAGGGCGTACCTTGGACCTGATGCGGAGATGGGGGTAGGCGACGAACTCGGGCCTCTCGTGCTCTCCGTGCTGAGACTTCAAAAAGCAGTTCAACATGCTTACGCCCACCCCGGGAAGCGCGACGAAGAAGGTGAGGGTCTTCCACATGCGAGCTGCGGGGAGGATGCAACCGCTCAGAATAGGCGTGGGGTCTCGCCAAGGTCACAGCCCCGCCCCGCCTCGCCCGATGGGGCTGAGGCCCGCCCTGCCGACCCCATCTCCAGTACCTGAGCCCTCTTCGCCGTGAGCGCTGCTCGCCATAAGTCGCCCCAGCTGTGGCCGAGACCGAAACAGCAGCCCAGAAGCCCGGGGTGCTACCACCGCCGCCATTTTCGATTCGGAAAGTCTCAGCACCGGAAGGGGAAAGATAAGGTGTGGGGGGCGGGACCATAACCTTAAAAGGAAGTTCCTATTGGGCAGCGTATTCTCATCACGCAGTCACCGGAACCTTGGCGCTTGCGCACCATCATCCGGGCCGACCAAATGCTTGTGAAAAATCTGGGAGTCGCCTAGTTGGAGGGAGCATGCGCGCGGGACCTCTCTTCAGGCGTCTCCTTTCACTTCGAGCGCATGCGTTTACTCTTCCCGCTCCCTTCTGTCCCCAGTTTAGCTAGGCGAAAAGGCGTGAAAGAAGGGCTTGGGGACGGTGCTGGAATCCACAGCAACTGGAGGTTCCAGGCATAAACTATTCAACCTGAAACGACATTCCACTTCCTCGCCATGCTCTGACCCTACGTTATTTTTTTCATCGTACCTGAGATCAACATCGTCGTAGCCATTATTATTTTGTCTGTCTCCCCTGCCAGCATATAAACTCTGTAATGCCAAGAGTGTGCTGTTGCAGCATTCCCAGAGCCTGGAATCATGCTTAACACGTAGCAGGTGCTCATTCAAATTTGTTGGATGAATGCATAGCAAAGGAAATAAAAAAGAGCCCTGGAATTGGCGCCATTCGATCAGGATTCTAATCCTGGATCAGCGTACTCAATTTGTGACTTCCTTAGTCACGCTAGCCTCCTTCCCTTAAACTTACGGAAATAAAAATTGGCATCTGTTATATTTTATCTCTTCAATTTTTTTCCTTCAACCTTTCCTTTTTTCTTCCTTCTTAGTCATCCAAAAAGAGTTTTAAAAATTAGACAATTAATTCATAATCTAAGCAGAGAGCTCGGATGGCGTAGTTCCTAAGGCATTTGACTGCTAACTAGAAGGCTGGTGGTTCAAATCCACCAGCCACTCCCCAGAAGGAAGATTGGGGAATCTACTTCCATAGAGATACCATTTCGGAATCCCAAGAAGGGGTGGCTATGAGTCCAAAATGATTTGATGGCAGTGAGTTTGGTTTTTTGGTTTTAAGATGCAACTATTGGTCTGTCCCCATCTGGAGCAAAGAAGAGTGAAGAAAATTTTAAAAATATATGGAAAACCTTCGTGCAAAGGACTAATGCACCACAGGAACCCCAGCTTCCATGACACTGAAACCAGAATTAGATGGTCCCCGGCTACCACTGCTGACCGCTCTTGAAGGGATCACAATGAATGTCCTGGGTAGAGTGGGAGGAAAATGTGGCACAAAACTCAAAATAATAAGAGACCCGACTTACTGGTCTGATAGAGAGTGGTGGGACCCCAAGACTATGACCCTTAGATACCCTTCACCCTTGTGGCTCAAATTTCAGCCAAATAAAACCCAAGGTAGAGTCGCAATGAGTCAGTCTGACTGGCCTGGCTGGCACACAACAACAAAAACAATAGGCCTATAAGGTGAACAAGCTCTGGTAGCATAGTGCCTAAGGCACTTGACTGCTAACCAGCAGGCTGGCAGTTCAAACCCTCCAGCCACTTCTCAAAACGAAGGTTGGGCAATCTACTTCCGTGGTGATACTGCCTCGGAAGCCCAAGGAGGGGGGTCACTATGAATCCAATCTACTCGAGGGCACATAACAACAACAACAACATAAGGTGAACAATAACATTAGGGAGGTAACACTTAAAACATCAACCTTACTGGATCAAAAGGGCAGCAGTTGCCCAAGGATAAAGCTCGGAAGGCAGAAAAGGATAGGAAAGGACGAGTGGAAAAGGATAACACAAAACAGGGAGAAGTGGGAAGAGTGCTGTTACATTGTGGGGACTGCACTCAATATCACACATCCAAATGTGTAAAATTGTTGAATGGAAAACCAATCGCTCTGTAAACTTTCACCCAAATCACAATCAAAAGTTAAAACAAACAAACCAAAAACACACTATAAGATAAAACGAAGGTAAACTTTTTTGATCATCAAAAAAGCATAGCGAGAAAGTGAATTTGCTCTGTAAATTTTCACCCAAATCACAATTAAAAAAAAAAAAAACAACAACATAGAGACCCCTCCTTGAGTTTCTGAGGCAGTATCTCTACAGAAGTAGAATGCTCAGTCTTCTGAAGTAGATTGCCCAGTCTTCTGAGGAGTGCCTGGTGGGTTTGAACTATCAGCCTTCTGGTTAGCAAATGCCTTAGGCACTAGGCTACCTACCACCAGAGCTGGCTTTTTGATCATACACCTCTTTAAGAATGTAATAAAAGATCTCCCCCTTTCTCCGCCGTTGTGGTGAGTGTGGCTGCCTTCCTTCCATCCTTGCTTTGTCTTCTCTTGAGACTTTCAGGATCAAGAAACTCCTGGCCAAAACACAAAAGCAGAATCGCCCCATTCCCCAATGAATTAAAATGAAAATTGGTAATAAAACCAGGCACAACTCCAACAGGAGACATTGGAGGTGAACCAAGCTGAATCTGTAAGGAGTCACACATGGGATGGCACATATATGGACCTAGGTTCACTAGCATTCTACCATATCAAGTTTAAAATTTCATCACAACTGGAGCAATGGAACATGCATTGGGACACTTCTGGTTCTTTATTTTTATGCTTCAAGAGATTGACTGACTAATAACTACATGAGAACTTTGGTTTGAAATAAACAAAAGAATGTGATGCAAACTAGGAACATTTTCCCTAGAAAGGCGTGCTTGCACTTAGGTGCAAACAGTTTAGCATACAATGTGTGTCCTGGCCCCCAGTGTAAGAACCCCTGGGTAGGGAAACAAACAAGGACACCAGTGTGGGAAGACTGGTTCCCTTCTTTCTTTCCCTTACAGCCCGTGTGACCTTGGGCAAGTTAACTGACACAAATGCTTGGAGGTCATACAGTGTCAACCGTTTAGGGTCGTATTACAAGAGCTCATATTCTGATCTAGCATTTGATCTTTCTCGTAGAAGCCCCGGGTTTTTACATTTCATGGTCTAAGCAGGGTCATCAAATCCCTCCCTTGGCATTCTCAAACAGAGCAGAAAGGGGGTACAAGGCCCCACAGTGTAGCTATGGAAAGAGCTCAAGTTCAGAAAGCAGGAAAACCTAGGTTCAAATCTCTGATCTGCCACCAGGTGGGTTTCTGCTTCTCCGTGATGGGCATGTGCTGTGCATTTATTCATGCCTTCATCCAACCGACATTTATTAAAGCCCAGCCCCACCTTGGGAAGTTATCCAACCTTCATCTGTAATAATGAGGTTTCATTTAATGAATATTAACTAAGGTGCCTACTCCCTGCCTGGTGTGTGCAGTAGTGCCCAGGCACTTCAAGGTCGCTCTCTTCTGCAGCTTACACTCTAGTGATGATTAAATGAGGATTAAATGGAAAAGAAAAAAAAAAAAAAATTTTGACATCTGTCCATTTCCTCATCGGGCTTTCATACACCTCGCAGGGCGGTTCTGCCGAGGGAAGTTTCTATCACATGCTTGGCACGCAGTAGTACACACACTGAGGCATGATAACTATAATGCTGCCAGGTAGGTCAGCGTTTTTAAAGCCTCAGGTGACAGCCAGGAAACCAAAGTCATCACTGTAAGAATAGCTAATGCTGGTTGTTGCTGTGCTCAGTGGAGTCCATTCTGACTGTTAGCGACCCTGCCGGACAGAGCAGAAATGCCCCATAGGGTTTCCTAGTCTGTGATCCGGGTGGGAGCAGACAGCCAGGTGTTCTGAACACTTAACCACTGAGCCGCTAGGGCTGCTTCGCTAATGTTTCCTGCGTGTTTAATTTGTGCCCAGGGTTATGCTGAGTGTTTTCCATGAATCGTCTTCCTCATCTCAGGCAGCGGTCTTGCCATTCTTCAGGCAGAGACCATCGCCTTCCTCTTTGCCTCTTTTTCTCCATCTCACGTTTCACATCCAATCCATAGGCCAATCCTGCTGGCTCTCCCTCCAGATACACCCACAATTTCACTACTTCTCACCATGCACTGCTAGCCCTTTAATCAAAGGCTCTCATCTCTCACCTGAACAATTGTAACAGCCTCCCAGCCAGCTTCCCCGCTGCTAGGCCTCACACAGTGTATTCTCTCGCTGGTAGCCTGAGGGATCCTTAAAACCGAGGTCTGATCACTTCTCTCTGTTAAAATCCTCTGACTGCTCCCACCTCATTCATACAAAACGCTGCCGGAGTCTTTACAATGGCCCACAGGGTCCTCACAACCTGCCCCCAGCCACCTCCGTGATCTTATTCCCTTCCATCACCATCCGGACCTACTTCTCTCCAGCTACACTGGCCTCCTTGCCTTTCTTTGAAGATGCCAGGCATGGTCCCGCCTCAGAACTTTTGCACATGCTCATTTGTTCGCTTCCAAGAATCTACCCCCAGACAGTCTCATGACCTTCCTTATTTTATTCAGGTCTCTACTCAGAAGTCATCTTATCAGAGAGGCCTTCCTAGACCACTTTAAGGTGAAATAATCCCTCTCTACTCTCACGCTCTGTCCTCTTTGCTGCGCCTGATCTATCTATCTTCATTACATTTAACCACCATCTGCATATTAAATGTTTGTTACTTTATTGTCTGCCTTCCTCCATCAAGTTCCATGGGGACAGGGATGATGTTTTGTCCCCTGGTGTCACCCGCCAGCACAGGGAGGTGGTAAGTGGTCCCTGAATAAAACTCTAAAAGAAAACAAACTCACTGTTGTTGTTAGGTGTCATGGAATCATCTCCGACTCATAGCGACCCCATGCGCAGCAGAATGAAATACTGCCCGCTCCTGCACCAGCCTCAAGATCCTTGCTGTACCTGAGCCCATCATTGCAGCCACTGTGTCAATCCAGTTGAGGGCCTTCCCCTTCTTCGCTGACCCTCTACTTTACCAAGTCACTGTTACTGAGTTGATTCTGACTTATAGCGAACCCCATTGGGTTTCCAAGGCTGTAAATCTTTACAGAAGTGGATTGCTCCATCCTCCTTCCACAGAGCAACTGGTGGGTTAGAATTGCCAACCTTCTGGTTAGCAACCAAATG